AGCTCTACCGGAACCCACAAAGGAAACCTTATCAATAATTGCTCACTGAAAAGATGTTGAATGAAAAAGTAGGTCATCAATATTACCAACAAGAGCGTTTGCTTCAGGGAAGGCAACTTGGTTGGATTCAACATTGTGATGTTCATTTATGTTTCAACAAAATGCTTCGGGGTGTGGCACGCACGTGATCAGTGCCTTTTTCACCATCAATTGAAGCATATTTGCTGCTGGGCCAGAATGATGATCATATGAATGTGGTTGTCGAGATGGATCACTTCACTGTTTATTTTGGTTTCGAGAGTTATTGTTGCCACCTTTGCCTTGATTCATAGCGTGACTTCTTCCTCAGCACCTCTTGGCGTTGCATGACTGAGCAACATTGTGTGCTTCGGGCACTAGTGCAGAGTTAAATTGGGTAATAACCATTGACTTTAAAATCTTGAAAACACAAGTTAAGGAAGTCAAATTGTGTCAGAGGAAGGGCTAGGGATATTTGCTAGTTAAAACTATCCTCCAGGGATTTCAATAAGGCATAGCGGTCCTTTTTCAGAAAGGTATTCATTTTTCAGATGGTGGCGAGGGAAAAAAAATGAAAAATAGGGCTTTTAGCTTTCAAGACCTCATCGCCCGTAGGCTTCTGAGTAATTGCTCCCATTGAAACCAAGCTCGGTGAATTCACACATGGTGATAACAGCCAAGATCCAGATTTTTCAAAAAAAATCTATATATACTAAGACTGGCTAAAAACGAAGGTCCACCTCTAAAGAATAATTTGCATAATAATAAAACTATATATTATGCTAATAAGACAGAATATGCATATGAACTCATCATATTATTCAAAATAAATTGCACAAAATGTCAATTTAATATATAAGCATATTCAACAATAAAAATTCATATAATAGGCCCAAAACAATTTATACATTGATATGTATATCATAAAAGATTAAATAATCATAAGCCCAAATATAATAACCAATTAAAGGGAAGCAAAAAACTTTTTAATCATTGTTAGAAGAAATAAGTTTAGATTTTAGCCTAAAAATCCATTACCCATTTTATAAAATTCGGATTTGGGCCTAAAAAAACAAGCCCGAATTAAGCTTTTTAGGGAAAACAAAGGTGAAAAACCCTTATTCTCTGCAAATCAGACCAGACGGCACGGCAAAAAAAAAGATCGCAGAGCCAGAGACGCCGCCACCGCCCTCAGCTGGAACTCTACGCCGCGGCCCTCTGTCGGAGGCGCGGCACTCCGACAGAGGGCCGCGGCGTAGAGTTCCAGCTGAGGGCGGTAGCGGCGTCTCTGGCTCTGCGATCGTTTTTTTTGCCGTGCCGTCTGGTCTGATAGAGAATAAGGGTTTTTCACCTGAGTGCGATTCTATATATATATATATATACATATATATTACAAAATACCATATAAGGAATACACGTTAATTCAAAAAATATAAATTTTAATACCTAATTCATTAATTAGTCAATATTCACAATACTTCGTGTAGTGTTATTTAATTTTTGATTATATATAAATTACATAATACCATATAAGGAATACACGTTAATTCAAAAAATAAAAACTTTAATACCTATTTCATTAATTAGTCTATATACATGAAAATTGTTTCTTATTTAAAACAATGTGTGAAAATTGTTTAATAGTCAGCCGTCAAAGTATCCAAAATTAAAACAATGGAGATGAGAAGTCAGGTTACACTTAAAGAAAAAATATATAATAATTATAAAATATTATAATTGTTGGGGAAAATTGTAACACCAACACGCGATTTGGAAGCCTTTTAAGAAGCATGAACACTATTGGTGTATGGCTGAAAGGAAATTTGTGCCGTGTTACAATAACACTACCTTAAAAGCGTTATTTGCCCAGTAACAGTGCAGTTACAACCCTGGCACGCTTTCGACAGGTTAACAGACCTACTACGGATAGCTTGCACTAGCAATCACGTAGACGAACCTCACTATTGCTTAGACGAAGGGAGGGAGAAGGAGAATAGAATAAATGACTCGAATTTAATGTGTGTTCTAAAACGATGTTGGGAGCTGCTATTTATAGTAAGCAACCCCCTTCATCCCTTCCACAAAAATGGAAAGGACGTGCATCGTCCACAAACGAGCGCCAAATGCGCTGTGCATGTGAAGAGCGCAACATGCGTTGTTCACCCTGCAATTCTAGCCACAAATTAAAAATATTCTCTATCATGCTTCATCTTTTAATTTTCCAACAATCCCCCACAAATTTAAAGAGGAAAGTAAAAGAATAATATCTGAGCAATACAAATGAGTTGATCTTAATGTCAGTGTTTGAGAACTTGAACTGACACGTAGTGACACTGAGTAATTTTCTTCCCGGGAGTGATGTGAATCTTGAACTCACCGGTTAGATAAATTTTGAACTCGAGTGCACACACCAACTCAAAAAGCAAGTCCTACAAAAGTCAAACTCTTTGACTTCTTATGAACACCCTTAGTATTAAAGAATGTTACGTCTGTCTCAAATATAGACTTCTTCCCTGTCAAAGTCTATCAGAACATAGACTTTTATCTCTGACAAGTCTTACCGCGTTACAGATTTTTTTTTATGTCTTATCAAGTCTATCTCAGTATAGACTTTTAACTCTATCAAGTCTATCTTAGTATAGACTACCATTAAAGGCTTATAGAGTAGTTAAAGACATAAATCAGTTGAAAGTCTTTTCTTTCTATCATAGACACTGTTATTGGCAACGCAAATGATAGTTTGTGAATCACAATGTGGTGAAGGTGTTGGACACCCCCACAATTACACGGTTATCACCATGTTTATTAGCCACTCAGCTTCTTGGGATAACCCCATTATCTTTCATAAGAGGCGGTTAGCCCTTTTCCACTCAGGTTAGGGATCTCTTTAGGTCTATCTCAACATAGACCATCCCAATTGAGTATAAGGCACCAAGAGCACTTTGTACTCATGTCATTATGCGGTGAATTCATTAGGTTTGTCTCAACAAAACCACCATTTTCTCAAAGAGTTATGAATTCATTAAGATCTGTAGCTCAACCTCACAAGTACACACACTATCGGAATGACCAACTAGTGTACTATTTTGTAACTCTTTTCATGGCTTCGTTTGACCACAAAAGTGGGATCCACCACAAATTCATTGCCACTTGGACTTTAAGTCCTTCCAATGAGTCATCGACTAATCCTCATAATTAGCCCTCAAGTAAGTTGATTCTCTTGATCAAACTTACATGCACTTTGACGAGTACTTCTTTTACTCGTAAATAATCCCTTGAGATTTTCATGTTTAACATGAAACATCCTCTTTCATCATTATTCTCAATACCACAGAGAAACTTTTGATGAAAATATAAGGAGTTTATTACCCCCACAATGCAACACTTACAAATATTTTTGTCAAATGTATTTGATCTCTTACCCAGACTGATATTTGGTGTCCATCATTAGCTCCTTTGTAGACTGAGTTTTGCCGACTTGCTTTGTGGAGCATTATAGAATCTTCGCACTCTAACTGATACATGCTCAACAGTTGAGTGTATTTCAACAAACTTGGTTATCTCAATTGATCACAATTACTCTTTAACTAGGAATTATAGGTATTTCAATATGACTCAACCAAGAGTTTAAATAATATATATACAAATGCTCATTGTTAGTAAACCATAGAAATAATGTTGTCCACATGCTACATCAAGTTGAACAACATAATCACCAATTTCACATCATATTCTTATAAAAAATTAATCTCATACACAAGGAATATGTTCGAGCTCATATTTATTCGAGACAAAGAGCACGAAATCAAAGGCTTCAACAACGAAAGACCACCTTAGGTTATCAACCATGTTGACAAGACAGTAACCTTTATGAAGATTCATCAAGACACTCATTCTTTCCAATAACGAGAAGAATGTCTCTACTGTCTGAGTTGACTAACCTTCATAGGGATAAAAAGGACCTCAATATGTGGGACACACATACCCAGGAGCATTAAATGGAGCTGTACTATCATTTAGAAGCTAAAAGACAAAAACTCTAAGGGTGTCCATGTCTCTAACGGCTACATGGTACAAACCGCATTAATGGAGCACTTAATGCAGCAAGCTCCCCAGTCCTTACCCACTGGATAATAGGTTTGAAATTTCATCTCCCTCCAACGGATGAAAATTTCCACACCTATAAATACCCACCTTCATCAACTTAGAAGGTGCTGGTTCTTTTCACTCGATCAATACTCTCAAGCAAAAGCTCTTATACAAGCTCACCTTCTTACCATGTGAACCAGTTTTCAAGGCATGAAGATTTTTTGACGAAGTTCATCAATCTTCATCTTCCACCTTGAAGAAGTCTTGCAACTTGTACGAAGAAATCATCCATCATCCAGTCAAGACTTCACCGTGTTGGAGAAACCATAAATTATTTTCTACCAACCTCAACTCTGAAGAAGACGTTGATAGAGGCGGAGTAAACTCGCGGAGTTGAAAAACCTACAGGAAGCTGTCCGGCTTAGTGATCAAGGAAGCTTTCGTGTATTCTTGTACTAACGAGTGATAGTACAAACCTTCCGTAAGTTGTGGAAGAAGAGTGGAGTAGGCAAAGTTGGCCGAACCACTATAAAAACTCTCGTCTCTTTATCTTTTAATTTCATGCTTTACATTCTAGCATTGCATTATCATTCGTCCAAACCGAAAGTTATCTTAAAACTTCAAACTGTGCAAAGCAACTAAAATCAACTTAATTTATCCGCTGCGCTACAACCCCGAAAGGTTGTTATCTGCCAAAAATCGAGAAGAGTCTATTCACCCCCCCCCCCCTCTAGACTCTCGTTCTAACCCTACCGGGACTAACAAGTGGTATCAGAGCCAACACCTTGATCGGTAAAGGCTTTGCATTTACTGCTTGGTAGATCCCTTGTCAAAAGGTTTCTGAAAAGTTGCATATTTTCAGCTTTGCACATTTTTCGTAAAAATGGAAAAAGATCATGATAACCGTTCGAGGAAGCTTGCCTTTAACCTCTCCAAGTTTGATGACTGGAAAGTTAGGATGTAGGCTCTTCTCTTAGCAATACATGACAAAATGTGGGATGTAAAAAACCACAGGAATAATCATCATCATGATGGCGAATACACAAGCTGCAGCACAAGGAACAGGTGCTGAGGAGATGATACCAAAGCCGAAGTATCAACTCACCACGGAGGAAAGAACAAGAGCGAACTTGGATAATGTAGCACGAAATATTCTCTACAATTCTCTCGACGACTCCTTGTTCCCCAGAGTCCGAAAATGCAAAAATGCTCTGGAAATCTGGAATGTTCTGATGAACCTGGGTGAAGGAGACGAACAGGAGAAGGACAACAAATTGACAGTGCCCATGAAGAAGTTTGAGGACTTCAAGATGTTGCCGAATGAAGCTGTCACAGATATGGAACTGAGGTTCACTAGGCTCATGAATGATCTGTCTGACCTCGGGAAGGAATTATCCAAAAAGGAAAAGAACCTGAAGATCCTTCGTGGCCTACCGAAATCTTGGGAGATGAAGGTCACAGCAATGAGAGATCACCGAGACATGAAAACCACAAGCACAACCAAAATCTTTATTGATCTTAAGGCTTACGAGTTTGAGCATGAACCAAATGATGCTGAAGAACCTGAAACGAGAAATATAGCTCTTGCGGCCAACCAGCAAGCGTCAACATCGGTATGCCCGAGATGCGGCAAGGATCATCCTAAGACCACTTGTGGAGGATCACCTATAGTTTGCTTCCGGTGTGGAAAGCCAGGTCATAGAGCCGCTTTTTGTCGTTCCCCGAAGACGGAAGGATCCCATGGTACGAACCCGAGCCAGCCACCTAAGGGTCCGAGCTACCAGGCACCAAATCAAGCTACGGGACGTGGCTACCCACCGAGAGGAGGTCCACACAGAAATGGGAATCAAGGAAGAGGCAAAACACAACAAGGACGTGTCGGAGAAGCTGGACCAGGGAGGATCATGGTCATAGGACAGACTCAGGCTGGAGATCTCAAGCTCGAGAAAGGTAACACTCTAACTTGGTATGAGTGCGTTACTTTTGCTTGGATGCTTAAATAGATGTGCATGTTTGAGAAACTATTATAAGTTGTTGCAAGGTGCTAAAAGATGTGTTAATCTATGATTTTTGGAAAGTTAAAAGTTAATTGAGTAGCTTTAGAGTAAAGCTTAGATTTGAATGCCACGAATTTGAAAACACGAGAATTAGAAGAATGAGAGGAGATATGAGTAAGGATGAAAAATCGTTAGGGAACGGTTAGAGTCATATTAAAAGAAGTAATTTTGGAAGTGCCGTTCTACCCAAGTAAAGTAAGAGTAGAAAGATTCCACCTTCGTTAAGGAAGAATTAGACGAGGATTCGTGTAACACCCCGTGTTACAGCCTCCAATCCCGGATTAATTATTTAATTAATTCTGTTAATAATAATAATTAAAAAAGGATTTAAATTGGTTAGGATTCCCTTTAATTAATTAATGTGGTCCACCAGGGATTGTGGACCATTGCCTAAACTAGAGTCTTAGGCCTATTAGGAATAAAGAGAGTAAACCTTATACTAGTCAGATTCTAATTAGGAATCCCAGACCTGTATATCTATTAGGAATAAAGAAAGTAGGCCTTTATTATTCAGATTATGATTAGGATTCCTGATTCTGTAAATAGAGGATTAGAAAGCAATCAGAACCCTTACCACCCATAGTTATATTACACAAAAATATTCCCGGGAGATTCCCCACCACCAAGCCTAGGGAGATCAATCGGATGGGAAATCTTAGAGAAGAACCTTAATAGCCAAGGGATGATTAACTAAGGCTAAGAGTTAACCTATGTTTCAACAAAACCTATTTTCTTCGCTATAATCTCCTTCCTTGACCTCCCTCTTTATTCTTGCGTATTGATGAATTCTTCCATGTTAATTGTGATATGTTCTTGATGATTGATAGGATGATTTATGTGCATTCTTGATAATCTTGATGATCTTGATGCTGAAAAGAAGTTTTTGATTTTGATGTGATGATTCTTGACGAATAATCTTAATATTTCTTGGTGTTAAGCATAAAATATGATTTTGATGATTTGGGGGGGGGGGGGGGATTAGAGCCCTAGGTTGGATTGGGAATTTGTGTTGGGATGTTCTTGATATATATTTGGCTGGGAATTTGCATGTTCGGGTGTTGTTTATGTTTAGAAGTCATAATAGGATGAGTTCTACGTGATTCTTGCTTTTGATCCGTTAATTGCATACGTGGTGTCGCTAATTGCATTTAAAAGAGTCTAAGCATGGTTTCGGGTTCCACGAAGGTTCCCGGGACGAATATATGATAAAAGAGTCAGTTGGGGGTAGGGGAACCCGCCACCTACCCGCTGCCCGAAGAACACCGCCCGGCAGCGGGCAGCCACCGGGCAGTCGCCTGCCCGCCGGTGACCCGCTGCCCGGAACAGTGTTCTCCGGCGGGTGGCCCTCCACCCACCGGCTACCCGCTGGTCCGTACCCCACCCCGGGTGTTTGGCTTCCTCGTTTGATGTTCCCCGCTCCCCCATGGTGTCCCAACGGACCCCGGTTGTCGTGCTTGAGTCTAGTTTGATATTTCGGGTACCATTCGTAGGTTAAATATGTCTTAGGAACTGCATGCTAGTTGAATTGGTAACCCGTTGACCTAGGTGGAAGTCGTATGAACCCTTAGGACTATTCTTAGTATGTGAATGATCACACGTAAGTTTATTTATATGTCTTTCCCCTCCCAATATGCTACTACGTGCTCCTATGTGTTATGTGTTGCATGATCCCCCATTTTGGTTACAGACCAATTGGGTGATTCCTGGACTAAGGTTCAGAAGTCGGCTGAAGGCCGAATGGATTGTTCCCGGACTAAGGTTCGGAAGTCGGCTGAAGGCCGAATGGATTGTTCCCGGACTAAAGGTTCGGAAGTGGCTGAAGGCCAAGTGGATTGTTCCTGAGCTAAGGCTCAGAAGTTGGCTAAAGGCCGAATTGATTCACTTCTTGGGCTGCGGTCCACATGGGCCTCAGTGCTATGACCCACCGACCTGGACGCGCCAGGTGGTGTGTAGGGCAAATAAGTCGAGGAAGGCTGTAGTCCACCGACCTGAGTAATCAGGCGGTGTGTAGGGCTACGGCTGGCTGCGATCCACCGAGTGATGGGACAGCGGGGTGTAGGGCCGTAGTCTCCGAGGATCTTCGCCCACCGACTGAGTCTAGCTCAGCGGTGTGTTGGGCTTGATCCGCTACGGTCCACCGACTGTACGCATCAACGCTGTGTAGGGTCGTATGTCCCCCCTTGTAAAGGGGATCGCGGTCCACCAACTATGCGCGTCAATGGTTCTCAAAGGGTTGATTGCGATCAACTCCCCTCATACTGCGGTACTGAGGTAGGGTGCTGCAGGGCCGTGTTAATGCTATAAGCATTAACCCTCATGTTCGGGGCATGCGATTGGTCCCGTGGCGCCATCAACGATTATGTGATATGAATGATGATTGAATGAGGTTGTGTTTGAATTGAAAAGTGAACTGTGACCTTAGATGCGTATTCCTTATAATGTTATCTCTACTTTAACTATTTATCATTGATTCATGTGCTTATCCCTACTTGTTGAGTCTATTCCCGGTTTTAAAGCTAGAGTCTCCTAAGTATATATCTTCCTGCTTCACAATGGTTTTCCTATATCTATATCTATATCTATATCTATATCTATATATATACCTATATTGTATTTCAACGCGTTGGAGTGGGTTACCAGCATCTCTCGCTGAACAGATATATTTGGCTTTCAGGCACAGATGAGTAGATCCCAGAGCGCGCTAGAGATCCGAGGCGTAGAGTAGCTAGTTCCCTTTCGGCCTGCGTGCCATGATTATGTATTGACGTTATTTGAGGATTTTAGTTAGTTAGCCTGTGCACCTGAGTTCTCTAGCTCAGGTGTGGCATAGCACCCCATACTCTTCTGCTTGATTTTGGGATTTAATGAGGAACTACCTTTATTATAATTTTTAAAAGTTTCAAAATTTCGGGGTGTTACAGTTGGTATCAGAGCCTAAGTTTGACCCTAGGATAAGACTCTTAAGACTGGACTTTAGGACATTAGGCTTGAACTCTAGGTATTTAGGAATATAGGATTCAGGAATCTTAGGACGCGCGGTAAGATTGTGAGCCTACCTATCATCACATAACTTTCCCTCACTCTATCCTGCATTTAGCTTAAAGAGCTCCCCCCTACGCTTACCACACCAAGGTAAGGGTGCATCACACTAACTCATCATTACAATAAATATTGGCCCTGAAAACCAGCAGCATGGCGCCAACAAGAAATCAGTCGAGGACTCCCGAACCCTCCGCTCACAAATCTCTAGTTCAGAATCTACAAACTAGCTCAGGTCACCCAGGCACTAAGCGATGCAATCCTCCGCAATAACAACCGACCACCACCACCACCAAACAGAAACTCAGATGTCGCTCAGCAAGTTTCGAACCATCGCTCACGCACCTTCTCAGGGGAAGAGGACCCCACACTCCTCGAAGAATGGATCCGAACCTTCAACAAAATCCTCGGGTTAGTGGAATTCCCAAAGGAACGCTGCGTAGAGACAGCCTCAGTTTACTTCAGGCACGAGGCTGACCTTTGTTAAACCCACGAAGGACCCACTGATGGGCAACAACCGGAGGTTCAACTGGGAATGCCTAGAAGCACGGCGACAAGAACGATTCCACCCTGCACACGTAAGGGCAGCCATGTACGTGGAATTTCTCCCCGTAAAAGCAAAGAATGGCCACCGTCAGGGGATACCACAAACAAATTCCTCCAGTCGGCTCGTTTCGCACCCGAATTAGTTCCTACAGAGACAACCAAGATAGAGAAGTCTATGACAGACCACAACTACGAAACCCAGAAGGCCCTAATCGTAAGCAAACCCCGAACCCCTAACAAAACCTATACCAGTGCTGCCGAACCCAACTTCTATAACGAGAAATTCAGGAACAAACCCAAAGGGAGGAGTAACAGAAATGGG